TGACGTCATGGGGGTGACGTAGACGGTCTCGTCATCGCGCGTCGCTGTTTGGAAACTTCGCGGATTGATGCGTCTTGTCTGCTAATAAGTGCTAACAAAATCAACGAGGGCGCGTCCTGGGTTTGGAAAAGATTAGGGGCTTCTTTGTAGGGTTACGTCGAGGCTTAATTGCGCTTAAGCACCTAGAGTTTATTTTTTATGGCACTTTCATGTCCTGGAGTATTTAAATTTTAGGCTTTAATATTATTATTATTTAGGCAAATATGATGTTTTTCTACTGGAAATGGTTATTGAGATGTTTTACTTATATAATTGTATTGGTTTCTAGTTTCTGCTCAGTGCTGTATGTAAACGAGTAGCGACTGTGATCGGGAAATTGGTTTTTCTTCCCCTTCATTATTTATATTCCAAATTTCGAGTCAAATGTCGCATTGTTGATTCTCTATAGTTAATCGATCGGCGCGTTCTTTTACTTGATGTACGTTATGTGTTGGTTTGGTTTTATTAGGGACTCCATTAAGTTGTACAAATATAGAATAATTAGGTGAATATTGTTTATGTTCCTTTAATTCAAGTGGACACGTTACTAATTAGCTTGTGCTCCTTGGGATGGGCACCCCACAAATGGATAAGCTTGACGTATAATAAACAGAATTAAGCGACAAAGTTGAGGTCTTTGGGCTTGTATATAGGGCGGTCATAAGGTACTAATTACAGAAGGGTACTTGCTCTCTAAATAATAACGTGGGAAACCTAATTATATATGTATGTTTCATTTAGTAGAAATTCTTGGTTACTCATGGAGTAAGCAAGATGCCTACGCCCCTATCACATTCTCCCCTTTAGTGCCACATGTCCCTTTTCTATTGGAGGGGGTGTAGGCACTTAGGTGTTCCATGAACACCAAAAAAATTTCTCTTCATTTAGACATATAGTATCCAAGGCTTTGAAAAGATTAGATGAAGCCCCCCAAAGTACATGTATGAAAATTGTACTTTGGCCACATATTTCATAGGTTAAAAAGTTTAAGGATGTGTTTGTCAACTTTAAAATATTAGTTTTGTCTTAACTAAGCCAAAATTAAACCATATATCTACGTGTTTAGCAGCTTTAGAATAGAACTGGGCTAGACATATGTTATCTTAACTAGGCTAAAGTGGAACCATATAAGGGTTGGTCCACAAAAGAACTAGTTTAAAAGGATTAGATTTGAACTAGTTCAATTTGGACCAAAGTTGTATCATCTAAAACATGTTTTGTCGATTTGCCAAACACACCCATATGGATTAGTCCACAAAAGAAGTAGTTTAAGGGATGGATTTTGAACTAGAAAAAATAGTTTAATTTGGATACAACTTTTGCCAAAATAAAAACAAAGTATTGAACCAAGATGGTACCGTTTAAACCAAATTTTATGAACTTATCAAAGACACATGTTCATGTCAGTTATCAAACTGGGGATCAAGTGTGGATTTCTCAATGTATTAGGGTTCCTTAATCTTCTTTAGATGGTTAGTTATTGGGCAGAGGATTCAGTCTTGCACACAAACAACACGTGAGAGAATCAAAATTGGAATCTCCGATTATTCCTATGACAATCAACTCAGTAATGTGCTTGAGTGGAGAAGAAGTTGAGTTAAAATGTGTTTTGCTGTAAGGGATTTCTTACCCTATGCAGTGGACAATTAACACCTCTTCTTTATAACACGTACTGGAGGGCAACTATGTAACTTTGGCCGAGTCCAGGTAGGCGGCTCAGCCGACAGATAGTTTACATGTGTCAGCTGCAGATGGTATGAGTGACCTATGTGTTTAATATGATTGTGACTAGGGAAGCATAGTGCTGACGAAGTCCAACGACTCATAAAGACTTTTGGGGTTGGAGCGATGATGATTCTGACTATACATTCAAAGTGATGGTGATTGGATGTTGGCAGGGAATTTGAGGGCGAACTGCCTTTTCGACTCGGCCTTGTGAGAGGGTCGATAAATATTGATGCCTTTTTATTCGGTCCTCTTGGGTTCGAAAGTTCTCGACCCGGCCTTGTAGGATAAAGAAGAGTAGGTGTTGACAATAACATCGATTCCCGAGTAAGGATGCCTTTTGCTTCGGCCCTTTTTAGAAAGGGTCTAGTGTCGATGTTGCTCGAGTCGTCGTGCATAGAGTAAGATCCATTTGCTACATAGTTAATATTAGATATGTGTCGGCTCCTGAGAGAGGATTAACACTTAGTCATTTTTGTGTGCAGTAACAAGGCGCAAAAAGATTTTCATTGGTATCATTGAGATTCCAACTGTTCTAAAGTAACAGGCATCTTGCCACATGCAAAATTTTTGTAGTTTCCCGATGTTACAAGGAAGTGCGTACAAACCTATGCTTCATTCTATAATGCGCATTCTTAGAAAGATAAAAGTGCAGGGGGTGGGGAATAAAAATAAAAGGAACTATAGAAATTTAAAAACTGATGCTGTTTGGGTAGGGAGTATGATTTCTACGCATGCTGCTTCACATTACTTCTGCTATCATTTATAAATGAGTGTTTTTGCATGCATACGCTTCAAATCTTTACTAATTGCAAATTTATAGCCCTCTCTCGTCATAGAGTAATCGACTTTTTCAAAAGAAATTCATTTGGTTTATGAGTTAAAAAAGTAGAGTAACTCTAACTAGTAACTCGCAATGGATAAATCATAAAAGAGACGTTATTTAGTAGAAACTGAAGCCTTGAAGATTTGTGAGCTGTGCATTTATTATCCACTAAGGGCCACTAGAAATTTTCACAAAATATTAGAGAACTCAAAGATAATGGCATAGTTGAAGTTATGGGTACAATGCGTCCTTCAACGAAATTTATTCCACTCACCGGTTAGAAATTCTTGTACTACATAATGAATGGAGGACATATGACTTACCAGGGTCCCACTAGGATGATTGGATCAGCTTTGCTTCGTACTCGGTGGCCTGGCCTAGGATTCAATGTTTTTGCCGGCTTCTTTCTAATTGGGATCGATATGTGGCGGGCCTCAATTCTCAGGATTTTCTTGAAGAGGGGTTAGTGAAGGAGAACTATAGAAAATAGAACTAGAATAATCTATGGGAGAACTAGAAAATTTTGAGCTAGAATAATTTATGAGATAAATTTTTATGATGTTAGTCAAATAGAACTAGAACTAGAATAAAATTATATAACGTTAGTCAACTAGAACTAGATAAAAATAAGAATTGGGATAATTGTACAAAATTATCCCACTTTTATCATATTTGTATAGTAAAGAGAGAGTTCTACTCTCTTATAAGGAAAATCCCGAGTACTAGATAAAAATTAGAATTGGGATAATTGTACAAAATTATCTCACTTTCATTATATTTGTATAGTCAAGAAGGCTAAAAAAACAACCCCCCTAATTCTCAGGATTTTCCATAAGGGTGTTAGTCAATTGGGACATTTTCATGCAAAATGATATAATTATTAAAGTGGAATAATTTTTCGCTAATGAGATGTTTTAGTGGGATAAATATGAACAATTTTGTGAAGCGGTATATATTGATAAAATAACGTGGGATAAATTTTTATAATCATAAAATATATATTTATGCATTTTGAAGATATAAATACTATTTATGCATTTTAAACTTACTATTATTGATTGATAATTGCTTACAAAAATGTTCTTTATTATTAAATAACTTTTGGTTAGATTATAAGATATTGATAATTATTATTATAATGATGGTCTAATGATGGTGATAACCATAATATGAAAGAAGTAAAGAAAAAAAAAGAAATATAAAAAATAAAAAATAAAAAATAAAAAATAAAAAATAAATATGAGTTCTAGTTTTTTACCACCTAGTTCCAAGCTAAAACTTAGAATAATTTGAGAGATTAGAACTCTCATTTTTATATAGAAAAATAAAAAAAGTGAGATAATTTTGTACCATTATTCCAATTCTAGTTTTGTTAGAGTTCTACTTGACTAACACTGTAAAATTTTGTTCTAATTATAGTTGAATGTGACTAACACCTTAAAAATTTATCCCACAGATTATCCCAGTTCCAATTTTGAGTTCTAGGTGACTAACCCCCTAAAGGTTAAATCCTCTAGGTGGTAAGAAGGCTCGAATGCAACCCTTCTCTTGCAACCATATGAGTGCCTAAGCAAGTTTTCTCATTTCCAAAAAAAAAGAAAAAAAGAAAAAAAAGGAAAAAAAGAAAAGGGACTTTGTCACCTATAAAAATCACACATTATGCATTTTCTAATATTATAAATTTTCCTTTTTTTTCGGTGGGTTCTCAAAAGAATTTGAAAGAGAGAAGACCATACGAGAGGGTAACATTGCAAAGTTTATCTATTAGAGAAAGAATAAAGTTAAAATATGTGTGGATACACTCAAAAAAAAATTATCATTCAAAATAAAGTTGATAACCTCTACGCACTTAAAATTATTCTCATTAGAAGAATTCCGATGATCATATTTTTATTATATTTTTATACCCTTATTATCTATTTTGTTAAAATGAAAATATCACTAATAAACATGTTTTATCGTTAATAAAGAATTTATGAATAAAAGCTCAAAAAACTCAATTTTCCTCATTTTTTAAACCTTTTATTGAAGCCGGGGATCAAGCCAAGCAATCTTCAGAAGCCGAAGAAATAAGGATCCAATATGAAAAGAAATTAAGTCAAAATCATGTTCAAGATGATTAACCACAAAGAAACAATGATATTTCTCAATCCGGAAGGCAGAATTTAATATATAATACATGAAAATTGCCTATCTTAACGAGACGGAGCTACATGCATTTTCAAAATTTTAGAATTCCATTCAGTTGGTCAACTAATTGGCCAATCAGTTGGTTAACCGATTGGCCAATTGGTTGATCAACCAATTAGTTCGTAACAAACTTGTTT